CAAATCTGCTTCTAGAATGTTCCTAATCTCATGTTACATTTTATAGCATCATTATAAATTATGTTTCTAACCTAATATAATCTAAATTATAACTAGACCAAAACAATATTTTACCTAGTGAGATATTAGATCAGTTCTAATATAGTAGCCTCTGAATAAACTTGACTGCTTTCCGTCCCCCTTCTTCCTCACCAATAGAAATTTTTTTGATCAAGTGATGGGGGTGTCCTGGCTGTCAGGGGCTAAATGCAGATTAGTCCAAACCAAAATGAGAAACGCCCAATATCCTTGCCAATGACTAGCTTAGAAAAGGGCATGTGACTCAACCCTAGTCAATAAAAACTGACAGAAGTCGGCTAGAGGCTATGAAAAAAACCTTTCTTCCCTGATAGACACAAGTGAAAAAACCCTTCTTCTCTGTTGTAGATGGGTCATGACTGCACATGGAACCTGGAACTGTTGAGGCAACCTTTTCGCCATGAGCAGAAATAGTACTTGCTATGCTGAGGAAAGGAAAGCAGAAAGATAGAAGGTAAAAAGGTAATGTACTTCGGTAATGAACCAATCAACCAACCTTGAAATTGCCCAACCTCAATATTTATTATGCTAAATAATAAATCTCTTATTGTTAAACCTACAAACTATGTATTACCCAAACTGGATAGCAAATGGATACTCTAACTACAACTCTTAAAAAGTGAAATGTTCATCATACTCATTTCTCCTTGGGTGGGGGATAACAATTACTTCACTAAATGAAAGCCTCCTCCACCCCACTTAACAAAGATATATTACTATTTGTTACTTATTCTAAATTTTCTAAAGCCAAGTTACTTTCAGATAGTGTTAATTAATTGCAATTGCTGGCAAGCTTATAAGAAATTTTTAACAGTTTTCCTTTTTCACAGTACAGAAATGAAAATGATCAAATGACCATTCTTAGAAAAGTACTTGACTATTTTGAACACTCATAATCTTTTGATGAATATCACACAGTCACATTCCTCCCTTAATTATATGCATCATAAAGACTACAATTCATCCATAGACTATACTAATGTATCCAACCAGTTTTAATACATCTGTTCCTTTGTTTAGAGAATCAAACATATCAAAAAGGTATTAAGGGATTTAGAACAACAACAAACCCAGCATAAATAAAGCCTACTACAAGAATAGAAGACCTCCCTCAAAAGCAGGGAATGGTCTTATTGATCTTCCAGTCCACCGTACAGTGCCTGGCACAGAACAGTTCTCAAAAGTGTGTTCAATAGATGTAAATATGCTGATGTGAAATCAATAAACTGAGAACAGGAATACAGAGAATGCTCTCTCTCAATGTGCCAATTTTTTTTTTTTTTTTACAGGTTTAGTCATTTTGAGTTGAATCCATCCCACCCCTGCCCTATTAACTCTTTTCCCAACTACCAGACCTCTGAGCTGATTTACAGCAATGAAGAGCAGGAACAGCTGCAGGAATTGCATAGTCAGTTCAGCTTCTAGTGCCTTACTAACATATAACAGAAAGCATTATGGAGCACTACATTTTATTATTTGGCTTCCCATGTGAGGCTAGAACAGTAATGTGGAAGCCAGATGACTCTGGACATTACGTGACATTCTTAAGTTTAAATTCTATCCTCAAGGATTTTAGGCAGGAGAGTAACAAGATCAGATCTCATTTTAGATAAATGTCTCTGCAGTTATGTGGAGGATGGATATCAAGGTGGAGGACGGGGAAGTGACAGATAACAATGGCAGGACTACAACTATAGCAGCAGGGGCAGAAATCCCTTCAGAAGCTTTTTCTAATCAGATGTATCATAGGAAACTTAATCTCCACACATCCAAGAGAGAACTCACCACTCCTCCTAAATTGACCCTTTACATCTCTTCTGTCTCAGGAAATGACTGAACTATTCGCCAAGTAGTTCAAGCCGGAAACTGGAGAGCATCCTTGATTTTGCTATTTCCCTCATCTCCTGTATCCAGTTCAATACCCTATCTTGTGGTTACTAACTCTTAGCGATCTCCCAAACCCATTCACTGTTTCCCACTTTTCCTACTATATCCTGCTCCACCATAATTTTTGCTTTGAACTAGTGGAATAACCTAACTGATGTTGCACATCCACTCTTGACCCCTGAAATTCAGTCTCCGTGTTGCTCCGAAAGTAATCCTCCTAATACACCATGGATCATATCATCATCTTGCTCAAAACCCCTCAGGGGATTCCAATTGTTACTAGGATAAAGTCCACCACTCTTAACTCGGCCTACAAGATCCTCTGTTATCCAACTCCTGCCTATAAACAGTAAGAATTCCTGATATCGCTGAGCATTTCTTAGGTGCTAGGCACTGCACTATGTTTTGCAAGCGTTACTTCATTTTATTCTCATTGTGAGCATCATCGTCATTTTGCAGATGAGGAAACTGAGTCAAGGAGAAATTATGCAACTTATTTAACATTGTAGAGCTAATACTGGAGCTAGTACTGGAGCCAGTTCGCACTACAGAGAATGTGCTGAAGCTTTCACTCTCCCTTCAAAAATATGCTCCAACCACACTGTGTTGTTACCTTTCCTAGAACTCATCAGCTCTCTTGCCATGAGGTCTTCACACAACTGTTCCCTCTGTGTGGAATGTCCCCCTCACAAATTTCATTTTCTGCCTGGATTATATCTATTAATTTGTCAAATCTCTGCTTAAATGTCATCTCTTCAGGGAAGTCTCCCCTTACTAAAATTACATTATTTGTTTACTTCCCTATGATCTGTCTCCAGTAAGATGTCCAAATTGTTCATCACTGGTTCTTAGTTCTTAGAATGGCATTCACCGGGGGGTTCAATAAACATCTGTTATGTGAAGGCATGCATGAATGATGTGGGGATGGAAACTCCCTACTCTGATAACTTTATTCAGGCTGATAAGAAATAAAAAGTAGCCAAATATAAATCTGTTCATCCACTGGATATTTAGTAGCTTCCAGGTCCCAGCCAGTACTCTTGAGAACTTGAAAGGCCCTCCTGGGGTCACAGACACATAAACATGTGATTATAGCACAACATAAGAGTGCCTGTTATAATAGTAACAAGAATTAAGTGCAACAGATGCAAAGATGAAAAAAAAAAAAAGAATATAAATCTATGGAAAACCTTCACAGTGGAGGGGATTCTTGAATTTTTTTCCAGGATGAGTGAATTCTGAAATATATATCACATGGTCTATGTCTTTCACTTGTGAAAAAGGAGAGAAGCATTCATTTTATACTGGGGCACTTTACATCTCATTTAATTCTCACAACAGCTCCATGTTATTATTCCCATTTTATAGATGTGGAAATCCAAGCTAAGAGAGATCAAGTAACTTGTCCAAGGTTATACGGCACATTAATAAAGGAGGAGAATTTGAGCCTAGGTCTGACTCCAGTACCCATTTACTTACCAATATATCACAGTCCTTTGACCCTGCACTCCCCAGAGCCTAATTACTTCTGTTTTCAATATAATTCTGAACTAAATTGGTTATCTGCTTTTCTATTTGAATATAAATAAGCAACAAAATTAAAGATTCAGGAGAGACCAAAGTGAAAAGTATGTTGACAGTAAGGGGGAGGAACAGAAAAACTATTAAAAATCGAACACAAATATTTTAAAAAATGGATCATATAGCCCTATACACTTCACCCTCAGCTAAACAACAGTACTCGATGTGATTGATGATGATCCATAATGGTGGTTGTAGACACTGCAGTCTAAGAAATAGAGAAATAACTTTTAAGGCTTAAAAGTCTTAGGTATCTAGAAAATTAATTCCTCTCTGGTAACTCTGGACAAATGAATTGTAATGGTTGTTCCCAAACTTTGTGGGAAGAACTATCCCAAGATCTTAAACAGTCTTCATTTTATGAACATGATTATTTTTTCTGTTGCTTTAAACCAACCAAAATAGAAAAAACTATTAATCTTAGCTTACATATATATATATATATATACATACACATATACATATATACACACACACACCCAAGTGAATTATAAGTTTTAAGAGCTTTTCATAAATGACTTCAACACGTGGAGTAATTCAGACTGACCAGCAGTGTTACTGACCATTCTTATGATCTAAAAACAAACTTTCTCTAAACAAACAAAAAAGTCAAAATAAAACCCTTCTGATAAGTCCTCCAATAAAACTGGGCAGATTGGTTATGCACAGAACAGGAGGAAAATTAACATTTTTAATCTGTTGCACTGAAAACTTAAAAAGATGCCTATGCGAAAAAGAAAAATCATGCAATTGAGGCAAACGCAGAGAAAACTGAGTAATTTACCACGAGTGTTTCTGCCATTCTACTCAACGTGGGTTCAACTTTTCAATCTTAAAATGTTACCTCCTTTTCTAATCTAGGCTTTTATTATTTTACGTGATTCATTAAAAAAAAAAAAAAGGTCGCCTCTAGAGAACAGACCCTGATTTTTTGTTTTGTTTTTAAGAACATGAGAAAACTGACCAATTATCCTGAATTAGTGAAGGAACACTTAATACGCTTTATCATCTCAGAGGCTTGCAAGTGAGAAACCATCCACACAGAATATCGTTTGTAACGATGTGAAAAGCATCCTGGCTGTCACTTTCCAACATGTAAAAATGAATGCAAGGAAAAAAAAAAAAAAAAAAGCAAGTCTTTACTTGCGATTAACTGTAACTGTCTCACAGTCTTCCTAGAGGAATGCAGTTTCTGCTAAAAAAAAAAAAAAACCAAAACTCTCTAGAAACACAGTACTTGCTTACTCTTATCTGAAAATGGCTTTTACTTTAAAGCTCATCTTGTACAGTTTGGGCCCCAAAACTGCACGCTTTCCAAGCCACCCCGGGCTGTGGAATGAATCCATAACGGGCTCGCAGAACCACCTACTAGGAGCCAACAATACAAAGGGAGTGACTGCAAGTAAACCTGCCCTTGCGCCGGGCGGACAGTTGCAATCACAATGTTTCCTTACCTGGACGCTCTTCAAAATAAACTCACTCTTCTCTCTTACGTCTTTAAAGGGACATCTCCGAGAAAGCATAAGCAGGCGAGCGAGAAGTCTATTCAACCCATCCAAAGAAACCGCCGGCGGTGGAAGCCCGCCTGGTGCACGAAGAGGCGCCTCTCTCACCCAGCGAAGATCCTCGGTCTTTCTCAAGACCGTCTGCCTGATGCTTTCCAGCGCGGTCTCTCTAGTGCTCGGGTCTCTACTGCACAGCCCGTCCCATCTCCCTTCACTGTCCCCTTCAGCCATGACAGCCGGAGGGAGGGTCTCCTTGGGCCGCCTTCGGCTAGTTCCCCGTCGGCATGTCCCCACGAGCGCTTCGTCGCTTTTAAAACGAGGCACGTGGGAGGAAGAAAACCAGGGACACCGAGTCGTCGGGAAAACACAGCGGCCTCGGCGACATCTGGAACCACAGAGCGTCTCTCTGGGCCGACGCAGGGCACAACTCACCCTTCTCTGCTCCCCCAAGGGGCAGGGCAGTCCTCTTGGCAGAGACACACACGCACGCACACGCACACGCACACACACACACACACACACACACACACACACACACACGGTTGGAAAGCTGAAGCCCTGCAGCGCTGGCTTGGCTGGACCGGCCGCCGCGGGGAAGCGCGCTCCTCCGCCTCGCGGGGTCAGCGGATATCCTCACGTCGTGCAGCTGTCAAGTCCGAGCTCTGCCCAGGAAGGCTGCTCGCAGGGGAAGGCGCTCCCGGCCATTCGGGGATTCTCGTCCGGGCAGCCACCGGGTTCCCGGGAGCATTCCCACCCCGCCCCTCCTCCGGCGCCAGGCCCTGCCCTCTGCAGCTCCGCCCTCCGCCTCGGCGGCCGGCCGGCCCGCAGCTGCCGGGGAAGCCTCGCCGAGCCCTCGTCGCTCGCCGGAGTCGGAGTCCCGGGCGCTCCTTGGAGAGGGAGAGGGTGCGGGGTGCGGGGTGCGGGGTGCGGGGGTGCGGGGCGGGGCGCGGCAGCCTCTGCAGCCGCTGCCTCGGAGGCGGCGTTGGAGGAAAGCGTCTCCGGCCCCGGCGACGCCGGAACCCCGGGCAGACGCCACTTCTTTTCCTCTACCTGCGTCCTCGCCCACCGCTAAGCCGGAGCCGCGCAGGGCCGGGCCGCCGAGCTGGCGCACAAGCGAGGCCCCAGGCGCAGAGCCCGCCCCTTCGCCCAGCCCCATCGGTGGGGCTCGGCCCAGAGGGCGGGAGTAGGGAGTGGAGATGGGGTCCTCACCCCCCGCCAGCCCCTCCCCTTTCTCCGCCCGGCATAAACCAGGAGCCGCCCCTGCCCCTGCGCCCTCTTCCCCGCCCAAGCAGACGCGACCCGCGGAGGCAAAGCCATTGGAAAGAGCCCCGCCCTCCGACGGGCTACCTCCGGACCCCGAGTCCGCGCCCGGCCGCCAACTGCAACCGGCTGCTACGCATGCGTGATGGCGAGCAGGGCGCATGCGCCGCAGGGACTTTTTTTTTTTTTTTTTTGCGTCGGGGGCGTTTCCGTCCCGTGACGTATGAAAGAAAAGTTAAGAAGTGCAAGTACAATGAAGCTATTACGGAGAGAGGCCGAGCACGGCCAAGAGGGCTTAGACACACACCTGGAGGAAACTGCATCCTCACTTAAGATCAGCTTGGAAAGACTGACGGTGTCTTTATTACGCCAAATCCGAGATTGAAGACGGCGGGGGTGGGGGTGGGGGTGGGGGTGGGGTGGGGGCGTCGTCGCATTGGCTTCTGGGAAGTGTAGTTTTGATGTACCGGCGCGTTCTGCGGGCGATAGAAACTACAGTCCCCAGGAGCCCCTGCGACGTTGCCCGTGGCGGCCTTCGAGCCAACGGTTAGCGCGGACGGAGCTTGGTAAGCGTCGTTTTGGGGAGCGCTGGGGGGGTTTTGGCTGCCCATTGAGGCTTTTTTTTTTTTTCCTTCGTTTCCTCAGGGATTTTGGAGATCGAGGCATCTAGAAGATGGCCTCTTAAGTCCAGGGGGTTTTGTCCGGTGTGTCTGGGAAGGAGTAGCGCGGGCGCCCCGGGCGGAGGGCACGTTGGGGCGCGAGGAAGGGATGCGGCGGGAACGGCTGCCCCGCGCGCGGCCTCCGCTCGCGCCTCTGCGGGGGGACCCCGAGGGCGGCCTTAGGTGACCCCGTGCGCCGGCCCTTGCGTCCGCCTTTGCGCGGGGGGCGTTGTGTGTTTTCTGCGCCCAAAGGAAATCCCGAGCAGAAGCCAGTTGTCAGATCCATTTTGCACGATTGACTAAGGGGAAAAGAAGAATCCCCAGCATCCCTGGATGGGAACGTTTGCAGGCTCCCCCCACCCCTTAGGTGATGCTATTTAAAAAAAAAAAATCTCCCAAGATTTAGTATGTTTATTTATTTTTTTAAGATTTTATTTATTTACTCATGAGAGGCAGAGAGAGAAGCAGGCTCCATGCAGGAAGCCCGATGCGGGACTCGATCCCGGGTCTCCAGGGTCACGCCCTGGCCTGCAGGCAGCGCTAAACCACTGAGCCACCCCGGCTGCCTGATTTAGTATATTTTAAAAGATTCATTTGCCTAAAGGTTCATGTTTGTTTGTAAAAAAAAAAAAGTCGTACCTCTGGAGATGAGTCAAGGTGTGAAGGGCCGTCCGGTCGGTCAATGAGATTTTAATTCTCCGCACGGTGGGATGGATGGGGTTTATTACACCAGTGGAGCCGTGGAGGGGCCGGGGCGGCTCAGTTCCCCGGGTGGGGAGTTCGAGCCCCGTGTTGGGTGTAGAGGCCACTTAAATAGAAACTTAAAAAAAAAAAAATGATAATGATAATCATAAAGTCAAATAAGGTATTTTAGGTAACTTATTTAAATTTTAAATTATAATGATAATAGTAAGGTCAAATACGTTATTTTAAATAGCTTATTTAAGTTTTGAATTTAAAGTCCGTTTTTGAATTTTAGAAATTTCTCCTTGTGAGGTGCTGAGTATGCAACAGTGGGAAAAGCCCCCAGCCCCCTCTCCAGTGATGGCATCTGGTAGTAAAACACACAATTACAGTACACAGTATGGTAGCTGGCTATCTGGGACGTCTAGAAAGAGGGTCTCTTGGCTTACTCCTGGAAAGTCAGGGAAATTCTTCATCCCAGGGAAAGAGGACCGGAAGAAGCCTATGGTGAGGCTCAGAAGGGAGAGAGAGACAGTACTTTCAGGAAACTGCAATAAGCCAAAATCCCCTCTATTTTGGGACGGGTAACTTCCTGTGTGTTGATCTACTTTGAAGCTGCGAAGAGACCAGCCCTGTGAATTTTCCGGATGGTTTCTGAGAGTGACCTGACCTTGAACAGATTGACAGTTTCAGTGAATTAGTCTGATTTGGAAAGGCCTTGCTACTTTTATGCTTCTTGGTTTAAATCCGATTTAAAAAAAAAAAAAAAAAAGTGAACTTGTGAGTATGATTTTAAAAAACTTAAAAAGACATTCCTTTTTTGTCCTTTTTTGGGGCTCCTCCTTCTTGTCCAATGCACAGCGTAGTTTCTTAAATCTAGATCCCCTTTTGCCTGCATAGTTGAGTCGGCTCCCATCCACACACATGGTTCCACTGCCACCTGTGACTTGTAGACGTATAGCTCCATCCAGCTGTACCCATGACCTACGTAAGCACTGCCTTTTCCAAACTGCTGTAATCTGTTGCCAAGACCATTATAATAGTGATTGTTCACTCTGGCCTTTCTCCATTAGTTCTCCACACTGGAGCCATACTGAACTTTTTGAAATGCACGTCCTGGCCAGATTTTTCTCTTAAAATCATTCATTGCTGTCTCACTATTCTTAAGGCAAAACTTGTTTGTAAAAAGCCTAATAGCCTCTGGTCTCTTTCCACCACTGCAGCCTCACTTCGTGTATCTACCACTCTCCACCTCTCTCTACTTCAGCCATACAGATCTTTCTTCAGTCGCTGGTTTTCCTATTTCCACCTAATTTCAAATTTCCAACATATCCGTTGAGTACTATGTAATGGGACAAGTACATATGTCATTGAGCACAATATACATTGACACTTGAACAACATGGATTTGAACTGCACAGGTCTGCTTACATGTGGATTGTTTTTTGATAAATACAGTACACTAGTGTAAATCTGTCTTCCTTATGGGTTTTGTAATAGCATTTTCTTTTCTCTAGCTTACTTATTTTAAGAATACTGTATATGATATGTATACAGAGTATGTGTTGCTTATGTTATCTGCAAGGCTTCTAGTCAACAGTAGGCTTCTAGTAGTTAAGTTTGGGGGGAGTCAAAAGTTCTATGGATTAAAAGTTGTGGGATTTTTTTTTTTTTTTACTTCCTGGTGGGGAGTTGGCACCTCTAACCCCCCGCGTTGTTCAAAGGTCACCTGTACAAGAGTTCCTACTCTCATTGAGCTTACATTCTATAAAGGAGAGATCAACAATAAATATATAATATATGAGGCAAATGAAGACAAATGTGGTAGAGAAAAAATAAGAGCCAACCAGGAAGGGGACTATGAAGTACCAGATTGTGTGTGTGGGGGGGGGGGGTAGAGGGCAAGGTTCACTTTTAAATAAGGTTGTCAGAGACCTAATCAAGAAGGAGACATTTGAGGGAATATGAAGTAGAAGGAGGAATAAGCTGTGCCGAGCCTTGGAGGAAGAACGTTCCTGGGAAGAGAACAGCCAGTACAAAGGCCTCTGGGCAGGAGCAAAGAAATAGCAATGTGACTGGAGCACAGTAAGTTCAGGGGAGGAGAATAACTTGAGGTCACAGAGGAAGGAGGTCACATAGGTGGTTGAAAGGACCTTGACCTTTAACTGAATTAGGAAAGCCATTGGAGGGCTTAGAGCAGATCAGTTGCATGATCTGACTTTTCAAAATGATTACTTCTTTGAAACTGTGTTGAGCATAGATTAGGGGGAAGCCAGTGTAGAAGCAGATACTAGTTAGGAAGCTAAAGTGATAATCCAGGTGAGAGATGATAGTGGTAGCTTGGACCAGGGTGCTAACAGTGGAGGCAATGGGAAGAGGCCCATAGTCTGGACCTGTTGTGTTTGTTTAGCTAACAAGTTTTACTGATAGATTGGATATGAGGTGTGAGCATATAGGAGTCCAAGATGACTCCAAAGTTTTTAGGCTAAACAACAAGAAGAAAGGAATTGCCATTTCATGTTGTGGGGATGTCTACAGATTTGTGTACAGAGGTAAGGAGATGGAAATCAAGAGTCTTGTTTGGCCATGTAAAGTTTGAGATGCCTCTAAGATATTCAAGTAGAGGTATGGAGTAGGCAAGTTAGGTAAAAGAGCACAGAGATGAGGTAAAAGATCTGGCTGTAGATAGAATAACTGGATTTCACAGTAGTGTTTTAATAGCAGTTAAAGCCAGCGTATAGTTGGTATCACAAAAAGAGGTACTCCGTAGGGTTTAGGTTGATCTGGAGTCATCTGCAAAGGCGACTATGCAGGAGCAGTTAGTGAACACAGGAAAACCCACAGAGCGTGGTGAAAGTGGTCAAGGAGTACTACGTATGTGCGGCGCTGCTCTGGATCAAGTGAGATAAGGATTGATAATTGACCACTACATTTAGTAATAAGGGGGTCATTGAGGATCTTGAGAGCAGTTTTGGTTGAGTAAAGAATATAAAAGTCAGGTGGGCATTTTATTTAAGAGAGAATGGGAGAACTGGAGGTAGTATAGAGGCAGTACGTGTACTGTGTTCTTTGTTCAGACTTCTTTAGCCTGTCTTTGACTCCCGTTCCTATAGATCTTAACTCACATACCACTTTCTCAGTTTACCTGATCTGAACAAATGTCTCTATTATAAATATACTCTTATTTTACCATATATGCCTCTACTTGCAAATAAGTTACAAATGTAGTTTTATAATGCTCTGTGATAATTTTATGAAAGTGTGTCTGCTTCTTTTTAAAAATTTATTACTTGAGAGAGAGAGAGTGCCTGCAGGGGAGTGGGAGAGGGACAGAGAGAGGGAGAGAGAATCTCAAGCAGATTCCACACTCAGTGTGGAGCCTGATGTCTGGTTTGATCTCATGACCCTGAGATCATGACCTGTGTTGAAATAAAAAGTCAGATGCTTAACTGACTGAGTCACCCAGGCACCCCAGTGAGTGTTTCTAAAGCTTAAGCACAGAAAAGCAATGGCAGTGCTGATATTTGCTCATCATCCCCAGCTCTGAATACAGTGCTTGGCATCTAGTATGAACTTCGCACATATTTGGTAGATCAAGGGAAGAAAAATATGTCACAGAATTTTCAAAGGTATTGCAGTATTTACCTATTGTTTACAAAAACACAAGATAATTGGTAGAAGAAGGTACTTTATTGATGAAGACATTTTAGGAAATGTCTTTTTAAAAAGATTTTAATTATTTGAGAAAGAACTCACATAAGTCGGGGTGGGGAGGGGCAGACTCCCTGCTAAGCAGGGGGCCTGACACAGGGCTTGATCCCAGGACCCCAGGATCATGATCTGAGCTGAAGGCAGATGCTTAATGGACTGAGCCACCCAGGCACCCCAGAAAATTTGTCTTAAAAGAGAACTTTTATTGCTAGTGAATTATAGTGCTCACCCTCATGAAATTGAATTTGCTAACATTTTTACCAGATTTCTACATGCCTTATGTTGTTGCAAGATAGTAAAATATATAAAGAAAAAGTATAACATATATAGAGGAATTGCTGCTTTAAATGAATGGTGCATTAATCAAGGAAAAAGCTGACTGGCTGGTCTCTAAGAAGCCTTTATTATCAAATTCATTGATGAATTTACCATGAAAAAACAGCACTCCAAAGTCTTGTGGGCTTAGAATCACAATTGTGCTAAGTGTTTGAGAGTTTGTGAGACATGGAAAT